GCTGGTCCCGGCTGGTGGGAGCAGAGCCGTCAGGTTCTCCAAGCCGGACGGAGAGGGCGGGCCGGGGCCGGGCACGTTTGCTGGTGTGTTCGCAGACCCACTCCGCTCATAGGTGCTCTTCTCATTGGAATGTTGGGAGGTTTCATTTTTCGGTTTGTTTGTATCATTCAAAGACATTTCTGAATAATACCTTCATCCCCCTGCGCGGATTCGCCGTGGCCTGCTGTGTTCTCGCGCCTGCATCCTCTCCTATTTAGGGGGCTCAGTATTTTGGGGGGCTCTAGGGGATATCTAACTGTTCTCTGTCCTCCCTTCCCGAGTGTGAGAGCAGACGAAGATCGAGGGTTGGAGGGCAGGGGAGGCAGGGGCCACCTCTGTCCTTGCGTGGAGTCCCAGGTCGAGATGGGAATGGGGAGGTCCCAGGCCTGAGATGAAATCAGGTCCCTCCCTGCCCGAGCTCAGGCCTTGGTGTGCTCAGCCGCTCCGTGGGGCCTGCGAGCAGCTGGGGGCGCAGACCCGGCCCTACCCAGGGGCGCCCACACCCACACCCAGAGGGACCAGGACGAGCCGCGGCACGTGAGGAAGGGCGGCCCCCAGGCAGTAGCACCAAGAGCCACGTCAGCCAGCCGTTCCTGGGGAAGCCCCCTCTCCCTGAGCTAGGCGGGATGGGAAGGAGCTGGGCCAGTCACAACCCGGGACCGGGCTAGCAGGGTTCTCCCGCACGCTCCCTCCTGTCGGGGACGTCGTCTTCGGGGACAGGGAGGGCCAGGCATACGGAGGCCAAACGTGCGGCCTGACCCGAGCAGGCTCTAAAGCTGGGAAAGGCATGGTGCACCCGCTGCTCCTGCCTCACCTCCACCCCGGCTCCATTAAGAAACCACACACCGGGACCAGCAGGTGGCGTAATGGCTATGTCGCTGGGCTCCCCCGTAGTCGACCGCGGTTCGAGTCCCGGACCCGGTGGCTTAAAAACTCCCACCAGGCGCGTGTGCGTGCGTGCCCAAGATCCCGAGAGGACGGTGGAGGAGGAGGGACTGTGGCAAGGCCACAATCACCCTTGGGGGGGGGCGGATTTCTCTCTTTCTGTCCCTCTCTCTTGTCTCTCCAGCGAGCGCACATACCCTATAGCAAAAATCTCTCTTAGAAAAGAATAGGGAAAAGCTAAAAGTTTTTTCACTAATAACGGTACTAGACAAGGTTGCCCACTTTCCCCACTGCATTTCAATACAGTGCTGGAAGTCTTAGCGAATGCAAACAAAAAAGAGAACCATATAAAGGCATTCAGACGAGATCGGGCACGTTCAGGGTGGTATGGCCGTCGGCAATATAAAAGGCATTCAAATAGGCAAAGAAGTATCTATATTTGCAGATGACATGATGGTATACTTAGAAGACCCAAAGTTCTCCATGAAAACACTTCTCAAAGTAATAAATGAACACAGTAAAGTGTCAGGATACAAATTCAACATCCAAAATCAATAGGATTTCTGTATACGAAGAACAAGGTGAACGAGGTAGAGCTGAAGAAGGGATCCCTTTCATCACAGCCACAAAATGTGTACGGTAACCTAGGGATAACCCTAACTAGGGAAGTCGAAGGCCTTCACGAAGAAAGCTATGCAAATCTTATAAAAGATATTGAAAATGACATAAAAAGTGGAAGACATCCCATGTTCCTGGGTTGGAAGCATTAACATAATCAAAATGGCAGTTCTACCCAAATTAATCTACATATTTCACACAATTCCAATAAAAATACCAGAGACATTCTTCACAGATCTAGGAAAGACAATCATAGAATTTGTCTAGAATCATAAAAGACCCAGTATTGCCAAAGCCATCCTGCACTAGAAGAGTGGAGTGGTGACATCTCACTCCCTGACATAAAAATATGCTATAAATCTATGATAATCGAAACAGCATGAGGGACCAGCAGTTAGCGTCATGGCTATGTCGCTGGACTCCCACGTAGTCAACCGCGGTTCAAGTCCTGGACCCAGTGGCTTAAACTCACACCGGATGCGTGTGCGTGTGTACTCAAGATCCCGAGAGGAGAATGGAGAAGAAGGGATTGCGGCGTGGCCATCCCCCCTGGGGGGTGATTTCTCGCTTTCTATCTCTCTGTCTCTCTCTGTCTGTCTGGCGAGTGCATGCGCCCTATAGCGAAAAACATCTCAAAAAAAAAAAACCATTAACAGTCAACTCAAAATCGATCAAAGATCTGAACCTAAGACCTCAGACTATAAAATTACTGGTGGAAAATGCTGAGGAAACGCTGGGAGACATTGGAGTAGGCAAAGACTTCTTAAATAAGACTCCCAAAGCATAGGCAATAATCCCTAAAATAGACAAGTGGGACTATATTAGACTAAGAAGTTTCTGCACAGCAAAGGTCACAGTAGTTAGTGTGAATCGACAACCCTCACAATGGAAGAATATTTTTGTAAACTATGCCACAGATAAGGGACGGATAATCAGAATACACAGGGAACTCAAGCAGCTTCCCTTCCCCCCCAAAAAAATTATTAACCCAATTAAAAGACAGGGAAATGAGCTGTTCATATGTCTTCCTTAAACAAAACATATGAACAGCCAAAAAGCCTGAGACAGGAAGTGCTCAACATCCCTTATCATAAGGGAAATGCAGGTTAAAACCACAATGAGGCACCACCTAACCCCTGTCAGGATGGCGAAGATTAAAAATACAAAAAGTGCCAAGTGTTGGCAGGGATGTGGTGAAAAGGGAAACTCTCCTACACTGTTGGTGCGAATGTAAATTGGTCCAGCCACTGTGGAAAACAATATGGAGGGTCCTCAAAGATCTACAAATAGAACTACCATGTGATCCAGCAAGCTCATTCCTGGGTATCCACGCAGAGGACAGGAGAATGCATGGTCGGAAAAGTGCTTGCACATCCATGTTTATTGCAGCATTATTCATGATTGCCAAGACATGGAACCAACCCAAATGTCCACAAACAGATGAATGGATTGGAAAGTGTGGCACGTATACTCTATGGGATACTATTCAACCATAAGAAAACAATAAGATCCTGGCATTTGATAGAAAGTGGTCCAATGAGGAAGATTTATTGCTGAGTGAAGCAAGCCAGGCTATGAAAGAAAGAGACATTCTATGTATCCATTTAATATATACTATCTGCACTCTATGGTAGAGATTGAAATATTGGAGGGCATAAAAGCAGTGAAATAGTTATGGACGCTGAAGATGCTGTGGAATGGGGGTGGGCGAGAAGGGAAGAGTCTAGAAAAGGAAAGGAGGAAAAAAAATAGAAAGGCATGACATTTATGGGACACAGAAATGGTTTATTACCTGTTGATGATAACATGTAAAGTATTCTCAACTGGACTGGTCGGAGAAGTATTTCATCTTAGGAAAATTCTCTGTACAAGCCAAATGCTATACAGTGGTTGAATGTTTAAAAAATAATAATAGCAAGTCAGGCTATGAAAGAGAGGCATTGTATGTCTCCACTTAACATATAACGACTGTTTGCACTCTATAGTGGAGACTGAAAAACTGGAGAACATAAACACATTAAAAATTGTAATGGACATGAGACAAAGTGGGAAGAGAATGTTGGAGGAGAAGAGTATAGGAAAGGAAATTTGGGGGGCGGGGGGAAATGGAGGAGTAAGACACTTGTGGGATACAGATAAGATTTTTTTATCTGTTGACAAGGATATGTGTAAGTTTCAACTGGACTGGGCTGAGGTGTAGATCATGCTGGGTAACGTCTCTTCACAATCTAAATGATGTATAGCGATTTAATGTATAAAAATAATTTTAAAATTAATTTTAAAAATAACAAAATAATCTAAAAAAAAAAAAAAGTTGGCCCTACCTTCAGAAATTACTGAAAGTCTCTCTAGGACTTGTCTAAGGTGTCCAGGACTTGTGCTGGGGCGCGGCCTTCTAAGTACAGATCTGCACATTACCATGGAGTGTCAGCTGGACCAGAATGGATGAGCTTAGCGCTTCTGTCTTCTCTCAAGCAGCACGTGTCATCATGTCTTGTTTTCACAGCAACACAGAGCAAACCACTTTCGGAAGACAGAGCAAAGCTCCCACCAAAGAAGAAAGAAAGGTGTCAGGGATCGGGTGAAGGGGAAGAGCTGCCAGACTCTTGGTGGTGCTTCTGCCAGTCAGGGGCAGGAGGAGCTGAGGTTTGATCACATACTTCTGCATGGATTCCACAGTTCTCATTGCCATAGAGTCTCAAGTGTGTCATTGCCCAAATTTGTTGCCTTCTCTGGGGAGTGAGGCCCATGAGGCAGTGTTTCCAACGCTAGTATTTGTGACTGTGACTCGGCAGTTCTGCTGATCACAGGTTAGA